AGTAGGAGTAGAGAGGAAGCAAAATAAACCAAGTTCTTTTGCCAGGAATTTTCTGCAAATGCAAAGGGGTAATTTATTCTTAAATAGCTATAATAGTAAACAAAGATTTAAGAGAGTCTAGCTAAAAACAAACTTTGGAATTCATCCAAATGTTGAAGTCACAAAAAGGAAAACTTGCTTAAAAGATATGAGATAAAAACATAACGGAAATTTAACGGAGGGTCTGCACATGGCCAAAAAGTAAACATGCCTACTTCTCATCATCACCGTAATTATATTACTATTTAATCTCTTTCATGTGCCATTGTCTAAACAGTTGCCAAACTCTTCCTTCTGTTATTTGCTGGTCATCAGTTATCATCACCTTTGTCTGTTTCCTTGGAACCCAAGAAGATTCTTGCAGGGGAGAATACAGTCCCCCTCCCTTCGACCCACCTTATCACCATCAGTACCTCTTCTAGCAAAAGATCTATGACAGTGTTGTCAGGCAGTCAGAGAAGTCAACACACTAAATTTTGTTCTGTCCACAAGCTTTGCCCACATCCTCCCACCCACCCACACACAGGACAAGAAGCTATATACACCAATGCCATTTCGAGAGGAGCCTAATTAGCAGTACTGCATACTGTAGCCAAGCACTGCATTAGAGTTTTGGGATTCTCAAACTGAGATCATCTGGTCAAGGGAATTGTCTCAGAGGATTCTGAAGGAAAGAGAAAACAGGTGCATATTTTCCTATAAAAAAGTATGACTCATCTTGTTTTAAATATCCAGTTTCTTTATTTTATGATCCAGAAGAAACCCTAATGAGAAAAAAAATATTTTATACTTTTTAAATTTAAAAATTCTAAAGAGTACGGTAGAACAGTTATATAACTTAGTCATAAGCACACAACTCACTTTGTGTTCAAAGTTCAAACAATTACAAGCAGCAAACACCAGTAAATAAAAAGACAGATAATAAAGTCAAATGTGAACGTTTAAATACAAATAGATTAGAAGAGATAATCTAAACAGAAATAGAGATGGCGACATGTGTCTGGAACCCTTTCCTCCTGAAGAAACAACAGGATACCAGCCAAAATATTGATTGAGTATAGAAACAACTGGTAAAAGTAAGATAATTCCAAAACAAACCTAGCGTTAAAAGGACACAGAACTAAGTGCACTGAAATTATCTAATTCAAAAGACAAAAACAAACAAAAAAAGAGTAGTGCAGGTGTCCTTTCAAATTAGTTTTTTGAGTGCTCGCTTTAGCAGCACATGTACTCAAATTAGTTTTTTGAGCCCTTTTGGTAGAACCCTAGGAGTGAGTTGCTGCATCTGATGGTAGTTCCATTTTTAGTGTTTTGTGGACC